TTTGACTAACATACCCTTTTAATTTGATTTTAATTGTATAATTAATATGTTAAAATGATTGGTTGAGATTKGTTCTCACAGTTACCACAAACAACTCAGTTCTCCCTTGAATAGGCCCCTATATATATATATATATATATATTACATTGTACTTGAACATTAATTAAGGTTGTTAAGTCAAAGTAATTAGATAGTTGAGATCGGTTCTCAATGTTCTCAATCTTTTTGTGATTCTCATTTGAAAATTGGAAAAAAGGTACACAAACAAGTAACAAATAACCAATAAGAATGGGTTGTAAAATAAACACCAAAACCTTAGAGGAGGACAGCTACTGATTTGTCCATTTCCCATATTACCCCTTAACCTTTTTAATTCTATTCTACTTCATTATTATCAATTTATATCATATCTTTACCTATTCAAACTCAACAAATATTTGATGTGAAGCATTGGACTTAAACTCAAATTATATATAAACAACAAACTTATCTTTCACTTTTATAATATCAGTATAAAATAAACTCTTAAATCAGATTAAACGTATTCTGTATCAGGGACAGACCTGGTATAGTGGTTACCGTGACACATGCCACCATATTATTCATCCGTCGAAGGTTAAAAAAATGTAGGTTCGTGAAACGTGCAACCGTATTTATTTGTTATGTGTCATCGTTTGTGTTTTGAAATTACAATGAGAACAAGTTTTATTTGATAGAGTTGGTTTGCAAAGCTTTTATTCCACCCCAAACTCGATGTCTTTCTATATGATGAATTTAATATGATTGTTAAATCACTGGTTAATATATGTATGTTAGGCATTAGACCAATCCATAATTAGCCATACACTCAAAATTATATTATAATTTCAACGGTAATTTTACTTTCTGACTTGCATGAACTTTTAACTTTCTTTTTTCAATCTGTTAGCCTTTTTGGAATGTTCTCATTTTGTTTTTATTTCATTTAAACACAAACACTTAACTATATTGTAAAATGATGTACCAAAGTTTCAACTCGTCCAACTCAACCCATATGGTATGGGTCGTACTTTTCGTTGGATTGGGTTGAGCTTTTTCAAATTGTATATGTTGAGTTGGGTTCATGTATGTAATTGAACAAATAAGATGTTTGTGTTCGTTCGTTTAAATAAATGAATAAAAAACTTGTTTATTTATTAAATAAACGAACATAAATGAACTTTCTGCCTAACAGAAGGCTCGTTCACATCCTTACAACTGTTTATTCAACGTATATACTTTGCTCGATTTCATCTGGACTTCATATTTTTTTTTACAACAAACGCACATTCATTGACACACCTCATTTCGATGATTTATTTACTCTTTTTTTGTGTGTACCAGAGTTCGTTTTGGTGTCATATTCATGAACGCAAATTGGCTGCAAATAAGATGTTCGATGAAATGTCTGGGAGAAATATTTGGGCCTAAAGATGAGCAGGCCGTTTATTCAACACGGAAAACAAACATCAATTGATCTTTAACCAGATGAAATTCTACCATACAGATGACTTGATTCAGGCATGAAAAAGGAAAACGAATAACCCCCAAGACCATTTCTCTAACTGTCAACAACCATCAAACCAAACGAGCTCTATTATATTCCACCCGGAGTCTAGGAGGTAAGAGATTTGAAATTTTGGTTATGTAAATAGTAACAGTACTAGAAGATGCAGTAATGTATAAGATCCTGATTAAGTTAATAACAATGTTTAGTAGTGACGTAATGAAAAACCAAACCAAACCAAACCAAACCAAACCAAACCGACCTAGTATATCCCAGTTGGAGGTATAATAGAGAATAAGATGCACACAAACCCTATATCTGTCTCGAGAGACAAAGAGGTTGTTTTCAAGAATAGTAGGGAACTAATGGGTTATATCAAATTCATATCCACCTCATTTTGCAGAATAGAAACAGGGGAATTTTGTCCCTAGGGGTGTGTTTGGTACCCGGGTGGGATAGGGACAGGACATGACATGACATGACTGGACGGGCAAGAGTGAGTTAGATGGGTGAGTTTTCTTTTTGAAGGTTTTACGGGTTAAATTTCACATGGGTAGTTCAATACTTTACCGAGCTTGCCACGTCTCCTAGATTTATGTTCCACCTATTTTGGTGAGACGAAAAAAATGCATTTTTGTCCCACTCAGTCCTAGTCTAATTGTCGTACCGAAAGTGGAACAAGTTCTTGCTCTATCATATATTGTGCTTCCCTCGTAACTATAGCTCATGCAGTTCGCAAAGAGATAAGCTACTTCTAGAGCTATTATAAAATCGTACGTAACAACGAACAGGTAAAAGGTGGGATAGATGCACTACATTCCCTAAGATGATTCAAGAACAAAATCAAGAAAATTTCTGCACATTAGATTAATGTCAACAAAAGGTATACATATGTGATTCAAAAAGAGGGGAAAGCATACCTTTCCGGGGAGTTCGGATACATGAGACATACTTTTACGCCAAAAGGATTGCAATTCCTTGTTATAGTCCACGTCTTGCCAAACCGAGCTAACAAAAAGGAGCACAAGATACGCAGATTGATATGGCAAGCGTTTCTTTGGTTCATATATGCATCATAAGACGACTCACGGGTAAAGCCAACTCTATTATGTGTTTGTTTACCTTGGAAACTGATTACCTTCCCTATAATCATCAGATTGAACTCTAGCACTTTTGTAACTTGATGTATACTGTTGAGAACCTTCTCGTTTTCGGCAACTAATGTTCGACTCCCAACCACTTCCGTTATTACGTCTTTGATGACCAAAAGAGTTATCCCGGTAGCCTACCCTTTGAGCTTGAGTATGTTGGGTTCCTCGAGACGTGCTGACGTGTTCGGCACGTCTATACCCTTCCCCGCTCTCCCAGCCTTGCCGGCCATAACCATTTCTCTGAAAATTAGCCGGATGTTGTTTCTGATGCCATGAGTTATTTGCACCACCGCCCCATGGAATATTGTTATCAGCCAAGTTTCTTGAACCACCTCCCCGCATAGCGTCGTTGTGCCACGAGCTGCTTCCACCGATGCCCCACCCGACATCTTTTATATCTTGATCATCTCGAGTATTTTTTCCTCGCTCCCAAGGATCAGAAGTGTTCTTATTTTCAAAGTTACCGGAACAATTCCAACCATTTGTCTTATCGTTTATATCAGTATCTTTATTACGTTCCCAAGGATTGTCGACATTACTCGTATTCTTACCATCCAATCCTAAAATGCATCCAGGAACCAAACTGTCATCGTTTCTCTTGGCAGCCTCAAACTTCTCGACGTTCTCTGGATCATCAGGATTGAAATAAGCTAGTTCCAAATCTTCCACTAGTTCAGAATCAATCTCTGGATTCCAATCGATGTCGTTGGCATACATGTCCAGATCAGGCTGAGGGACATCGGCAGGGATGCCGTTAATTTTTGCCCAAAATCGTTCCTTGGCATCACGGAATGTTTCTTCACTGGCTGAATCGTTCCACTTCACCACATTGTCATAGCAGTGCATGTATTTTTTAGCATTGACAACCTTCTTCCAAGGAATTCCTACTGAAATGCAGAATCTCTCTTCCCATGGTAGGTCAACATTTTCCCAGGCTCCTGTTGTGAGAATTAACATACAATTTAGATACAGATAGGCACATTGGAAGAGAACCTGAATTAACAAACCAAATGAGACCATTACACCCCATCCGACACCCGGGTGTGGGATGGGGGTTGGGGGGTGTAGGGGTTTGAAGGCATATGGTCTAGGAACGGTAAAATTGATTTAGGTTTTTTTACTTTAAAACCTTCCTAGCCACTTATCGATAGCATTTTGGAGTCAAAATGACGTAGGTAACCAATTTCAAAAATTTCAATGGTTTATTTATTCAAAGGAAATGAATAAAAACCAGTATACCCCACCCGGGTGGGGACGGGGGCGGGTTTAAGATGTAAACAAACATGACCTCCACTCTAGAAGGTAGAGCCCAGCTAGTGAAAAGTGTGTAAAGGGAACCTAATTTGTCGATAAAAAAGACGCGGACATTAGTATCAATGCGAGAATCCATGTGAGGTCTTGGGTTCGAATCCAGGCACCATCCACCTGTCTCTGGGCCACTGTGATTTTCTTCCCCTGTGATGGCCTTGGGAAGATGCAACAGGAATGCTCCAGAGGGAAGCGTGTACCCTAAAAGCCCGAACCCTGGCCAGCTAAATACACTCAATGACACCTTTGTTAAATTCTAGCCCAGTCCGACATATTATATAATAAGCAACGACCAAAAACAGCATGTAAAACACAACTAGCTGCACCATCCTCATTTACACACACTTCGTTTTCTCCAATACACGATGAACATGCAAAAAGATTTAACATCATATAGTTAATCCTACTGACCAAACATTAGGTTCGGCTGTGGAACGATGATCAATTGCACAACCCGTAATCCTACTGACCTTATTTAGCCTTTGGTTGACTTTTACGAGTATTTGTAGAGATTTCTTATTTTTATTTCAATATATTATTTCTAATTATGATCAGGGGTCTTCACAGAAATAGTCACTCTACTTCTTTGGGTAGAGGATAGGTTTGCATACATCCTACCCCTCCGAGACCCTACTTTCGAGTGGGACATATTGTGTTCATTTGGCTTGGTTTATTTCTAATCATCCTTCATTTTGTATGCTACATCACGTCTCCTTGCATTTTCGGCAGTTTTTCCTTCACTTGAAAACTTGACCTTTGTCTCATAGAGGATAACCTTACTGGTTATCCCATAGTTCTCCCATAACTTGAGCATTTGCCAACTTTTACAGATTCAGGTGAAATGAAAGCTTTTCAGTTAAAGATTTAAAAACATACCAGTAACAGAGTGAACTGAATGTCAACACATTATCCAAGCAATATAGTTCCAACTCATATTATAATAGCTTATCACATTTTGCAATGTTTATTTAAGTACGTAGTAAAATATGTAGGAAACCCTTTTTCGAGTGGCACAAATTAACACACTCTTTTGCGTGGAAGTCCCTAATTCTGATCAAAAGTGTATTGTACACATTAGAAATGTTATCAAACCCTAAGCAGTGTCATTCTGCTGACTGTGAAGCCCCTCTACAAAATCCCACCTCATTTGATAATATCAAAAGTGTATTGTACTCATTTTGTATTTTACAAGATTGTCAAAATCCCACCTCGTTTATCTCCATTTGACCTCTTATTTGGCTAAATAACAACTTATCGATGGAGAGAAAAGTCCGCTTTCTTGATAAATGAGCGAAATATCCCTCTTAATTGACATTCCATATTTGACAACTCTTGATCCCGTGGGGTTTAAAAAAGAGGAAGTTGCCGTAACTTACTTCAATCATTTCCGTACTATCAACTCAAACTGAAATCTACTTGCGGGCATAAAGGAAAGGAAAAGCAACAAAATAAAGATCCATTCAACTTTCATCTCTTTTCTCCTCACACAATTGATCGTTGTTCTTATAGAAAACCACCAAATCCAACGGTTATAGACATGTACTTCAGTCGGAAAACACTTACATGTTGGTTTTATAAGAACTAGTTACGTACAATCTACTTGGATTCTAATATAATTAGGTCATTTTCATTCATAATAAAAGTATCCATGTATTTAAGAATCAAGAGATTCCACATTTATGCATTACGAATGGTGTTTACCTCTTTCAAATCTCTGCTTGTTCTCCAAATTTCACATCAATTTCATACCCAAAGTTCTTTAATCCATTGGTCACTGAATCAACAACATTTTTTTTATTAACCTGGATATCCAACCCGCTATGCGAGTTGACTAATCCTAGAGCGACTAACTGCTTCGCAGATAGCTCGGAGTAACCGCATTTGAACCACTGTGGCCACAATTGGATTTTTATTCCTCCTTGGATTTGAACCTGAGATCTCCCGGTACTTTTGACCTTTCAAGCCAAGCTCAAAACATTCAGGCATCACCCTTGTGGTTGAATCAACAACATTTGAGACCTTCCTAAACTAATCTCCTATTGTGTTACCAAATCCTCTTTATGCAAACCCTAAAAAACCATCAAACTTGTAAATTACCACTCAATTTGTTATTTTTCTTACTGCAAGTACATTCAATCAAATACCTCATCAATTCACAATAACTCAATCTCTAAACCCTATACCCTAATTCTCGATTACGAATCTAGAGACCAAAACACAAACTCCATTATTCATCAACACACTAACAATTAACATCAAGAAGCCTCAAAATCAAAGAGCATTGTCGACACTACGACAAAATTGATCTCGATACGCATATATACAACAACATAAAATCAAAAACTCCACTACAAATAATGCAATAAAATAGAAAAATCAACGAAAACATCGTGAATCAAGATCGAAGTGGTGAAAACATAGATGATTTACCTCGAAGTTTAAATTCAGTTTCGTAATATGTAGGGGGAGATGGTATTCGTTGATCTCGATAATAATTTTTGGGTGTCCATCTTCTTCGATAATTCCACTTACCCATTTTTGCAGATTGTTTTGGTAAGAAAGGGGTTCGCCTGATGAACGAAAAGGGGTATAGAGGAAGAATGCATATAGATTGTAGAACAGTAGAAAGTGAAGAAACGAAGAGCGCCGAGGGTAAAACATATTTTCTAAGTAACCCCTCCACAATTCATCTTTTTTCACTTTTTGGTCCAATAACAAAATAAATTACATTTTGGTCCTAGAATGAAAAGTCTCGTTTAATCAACTTCAGCCGACTTTCCGCGTAAAATGAGGATTTTGAGCCAATTATTGGGATTTGAGACCAAGACTTGCTAATTGTGTAGAGAGATGTAAAAAAACCCTTTAATTATGGCTCAGACCCGATTGGTCTAATGGGTTTGATTAGAGATGGTCAAAATCCCGTTCCAGATTGGGTGGGATTTAATTCGGTCCCGATCCAAGATTTTCCTCTTGTAACTAGTTTCATCGTGAATGGTCCTGGTCCACACCAAAAACTTTCGGCTGTTCTCCATGTAAAAAGCCCGATCTCAATTTTTTCTCCCAAAAATCAATTTTATACACATAAAAAACTTGTGTTTTGAATGTTTTTTTATAATATCTTATTGAAATACACTTTAAAAATCTCTAACTGGGTTATTCAAATACACTCAAAATCTTATTTTAAATCTTTTTTCATACAAAAAATTTATAATTGTTTTTATAATTAGGATTTTTGAAATTTATTATTGGAACACTTTAAAAAAACTTCAAAAAGAAATTGAAAAACTTTAATTTTTTTTGAAGGTTTTGATAAAAAAAAAACTTGATATATAATTTATAAAAATGTAACTTTTCTTAAAAAATCAGCTCCTACGTATGGTCCCGGCCCGTAACCGGTCTCGGGCCGTGCCTTGAATTTTCATAAAGATCGTAGTGGATCCATGTTCTTATCGGTCCTAGTCTTAAGCCAGCTGCGGGCCGGACCCATTTTGACCATCTCTAAGCCTAAAGCCTGGTCCATGCTAGGTCTCAAAACCTAATCAGGTCAAAAAATTTATAGCAAGTCCAATCGGGCCCAAAAAAGTCTGACCTGGAAAATCCAGTTAACCCCAAAGAAGCTTGATTAGACCATTTTCAACCCTAAACTCCGTTTCGGGCCTAAAAAGGACTGGGCTTTTTTGCTCACTGAAAACGAGCTTGGAACTTGGAAGGCCTGAGCCCAGGCTTGAACAAAACCCCAACCTTGTGTATCTCTAGTGGTATATAGACGGATATACCTAGATTTATGGGTTTAATGTAAAAAAATTAACAATTAGTTTCTAGTCGACTTGTAATTTGGTCACATAAATTTGAAAATACTCAATATAAAACCCAAAATTAAGGTCAAAGTCATAGCCAAAAGTCTATGTTCACGGTGAAATTTTTCGTTGAAATAGTTTTTCCCATAAACTAATCCTACTGTCGTATATCAGGATTAACCACTTCTTCTGGGTGTTTGGTCATTTTTACAGATACCTTCAATGTTGTTGATGTTTCTTCTGCACACCTTACTTGACTTTATAAACGCCTTTGCAATCCCCTTTTCTTTTCCAAATTTTATTTGAGGTGTTATTAAAACCTTATCATTGAGTATCAATAATAAAACGTATACGCAGACGTTATATCGTTTTGTCAAGTCAAGAAAGCAAACACTTTAAAGTTCATTATGATTTGTTTCAATACAGATGTAAAAGTAGTTAGGGTTTTTCTGACAAAATTAAAAAAATTGAAGTTTTCGACTTTTTCGGTACGTATTTTAGTAAGAGCATTTACACAAATTTCATATCACTTTCTAATCGACTTTAAAAGTTTACGATGTCGTCTGTTTTTTTTAAGATGTGCTAAAATCTGAACCCTTATTCCATTTTTGAATTTATAATATGTGGTGTTAAAAGTCTGAAAACAGAATCAATGACACCGTTTGTTTTTCTAAACTGATAAACGTCTGAATACATGTAATTTCACGTGCACTCGTAAATATTATACAAATTACATGTAAACTATAAAATTAGCAATCTATAACCAAAATATATGATTTCAATTTTTAACACGTTCACATCAATACGTAATAATTAGACATGTCACCTACCGTAGTTATAAGTATATTGAATGATTGTTACCTATCCATGATGAATTGCATTTTTCGGTAATTAGAAGGGTATTTTCGTAATGTAACGAGATATATCTCGATTCTAATGTTTTGTTTTTATCCGTCTCTGTAGATGTTAATGTTTTTATATGGTTTTGAGAAAGAGAAAATGTTTTTATTCTTAAATAAAATATAAATTTGAAGATATCATAAATTTTCAAAAATAAAATACCAATATTAGTATCAAATTAACTATTAAAAAGTTCTTGTTTTTTTTTGTGTAATTTCTTTATTTCAGTTTTTAATTATAATTTAATTTTAATATTATAATGAAGTAATTTATTTTTGTTATAATGATCTAATTTTTTATAAAGATAATAATTATTCTGCTAGAACTCAATGATTATCATAATTATATTTTATATTTTTTATATTTAAAATGAAATGTTTATCTTGTATTTGATTATGTTTATTTGCATTTAGTTACACGAATTCAAACATGAAGCTTTAATAAGTTGTACTTACGCACAATTTATTTGTAATATTGAACTTTAAGGTTGAGTTTGGTACGCAGACTACATGAGACACGATGAGACAAAAAAAATAGTCTCATGTTTGGCATGTCATGGACAAAAAAAAAACATGGGAAAAGGTGGGACTATTTTTAATTTTAATGGGACAAAGCTTGATATTTCTTGTTCCATCAAAAAATGTGAAACAACATGGGACTACAGTTAAAATGACAATATTTTGGTTGATTTGTTGTCATTTTACAATCATTATATGATATAAAATAACATTAAACAACATTTAGGGGTAATATGATCATTTTAATAGTTTTGTCATGTCATGTCCTAGTCGTACCAAACGTAAGACAGACAATTAGTCATGTCTCGTCCCGTCCTGTCCTGTCCTGTCTTGTCCCGTCCCGTTCTGTCTCATCCAGTCTGCGTACCAAACACTACATAAGTAATATGCATCAATAAACAGTACTTCGTACGTAAAAAATGGCTTTTAAGAGTTTTTATTAAATGTTTTATAATATAGTATAGATAATATATGGTAATAATATTTAAATAATGCAAAATTCATAGTTTAATAAATTGTGTAAAATAAAAATAAAACTACTTTTGATAATTTAAATAAATTAAGGTATATTTCTGTTTAATTAAATGTATATTATTAAATTACGTCTAATTATTTTTTGTTTCAGTTTACGGGAATTAATGTTAAACATGAAAAAATATATGCTTAAATTACTAAATATTAATATAAATCTCATTTAAAATATAAATAAAAATGATTTAGTTAAATTAATAAAACCGAAAGACGATAAATAAATAAATAAATAATATATAATGGTGAAGGACTTTTGTCTCACTTAGGCGACATTTGTTTTTTAAAAGGTGCGTCTTAAGTCTTATTTCATTTCTGATTTATAAGAGGTGGTGTTGACGTCTGAAATATGTATCAACGAGACTGTTTGTTTTTTTGTAAGCTAATAAACATTTGAATTTGTTTAATTGTCTATTTTACCCATTAAAAAATTATATTGTTGAATTTATAAATAAAATTTATACAATTTCACATATTTGTTCATCATAGTTACAAAATTTACATTTGAATTATAATCACCGTTCAATTAAACGAAAGTATGTCATTAATGTATTTAACACATTTAAATTCTATTAAAATACATCAATTGAGAGACGTGATGATTGATTTGGTAAGGATTGAGTGAGACAAATGATCAATTAAGGTTAATCGATTAAGAAAAACCATTGTTGAGGGTTTGGAGAACAATAAAAGTCAAAAATAAGAGGTTGATTTATCTCTTACCAGATAAGAGGATGATAAGACATAAGTGTCTCTTCAAAATTGAGAAAAACAAACAGTTTGAATGGTCTTACCTCTTAACGAATAAGACACAAGAGGCTAATAAGAGTTTTTCATATAAAAAACAAACAAGGCCTTGGAGGACAATAAAAGGTATATTGACCTCTTATTCACCAAGAGAATATTAAGGGGTTTCAGGAACTATTTGTCAGTTGTTGAATGATTTGATGCAAAATGGTTAAGTGGTCAAAATGGTTAAGAGACTCTGTATAATATAATGCAGAATGAAATATGGTTGCTATGGGAACGATAGATTCGAGGAGGAGATCGTCGGACAGCAACCAAGAGCTTGGAACTGGCGTGGAAGAGAAAGTGTGGGGGGAGGCAACACTGGAAGACGCGATAGAGTGAAGGGCATAGTTGGAAAGAATAACCTTCTAAACCATTTTGCCTTGCTCTGGATAAAAATTGGTTCAGAGCACTAATTTTGGCATCGTCAAGAGGCATCACAAGACATACTTCTGCGCAATTCAGAGGTTGCCTCTTAATATGACATCATTAAGGGGCTGTTTGGCAATTGCTGAATGATTTGGTGCAGAACGATTAAGTGGTCAGAATGATTAAGAGGCTCTCATGATATAGTGCAAAATGAAATATAATTGTTTGGTAATTGTGTACAATGAAATTAGGGCTCTTAATGGTTAAAGAAGATCCACGATACAAAATCATTCATAAACTTTTTTTTTTGCCAAACAAGATTCACATTTTAACGGTTCGGAGGTTGCCTCTTAATGGAACTATTAAGAGGTAAACAAACGACCCTAAGATGCAAACAAACACCTCCTTAATTAAGTTCTTATCACATAAAAAAACAATCGACCCTTTAACTCCAACCTCTTGTCTGATAAGACATAAATGATTAATGAGAAATTTTTTACGTGTCACCATCACACATGCAACAACTGCAAACACACTCTAGCAACGCTACGTCGTCATTGTCGACCCTGCTCAATTTAATTATAATTTTATGTGTTATTTTTAGTTCTTTATTAAATTATTTTATCATATTATTTTATACATTGAA